GGGCTGTGGCAAGTGGATGGTCCGCCTCCAGATGGAGAAGGCAAGGCAAAGTCCAGCACATCGCGGGTGTACCGAACCTCGCCTATGCCCATCTTCAGCTCGGGCCCCGAAGCCTCTGCAGCCTCCGCAGCTGCTCCAGCTCCTTCTTCGTCTTGTCGATATCCTCGCTGGCCTGGCTGCGCAGCGCCTGCAGCCTGCCCATGGACTCGGCCGAGCGGGGAGCCTTCATGAGCGGGCCGAGGTACTGGATCAGCTCGGTCATTTGGTCCTTCTCGGCAGTGGCCTTGTCGATCAGGGCCTGGAGGCTGGCACCAGCCTGAGCGGTCGATTCCAATGGCCCCTCCCGCGCAGTATTGGCCTCCTTCTGCTTGTGGGTCTCCTTGTTCTTGTCCTTGTTCGCCTTCTTCAGCCTGGTCAAGAAGCTCGTCCACCGGTTGCTTCTCGTCACCGTCGTCGCTGGAGAGGTTGAAGAGCTGGCAGCTGCCGGTGCCTGCTGCCTGCGAGTGTCCCGCATATTGATGAACTCCTCCCTGCTCTGGCTGATGACCTTGCGCTTCTCCACTTGGGCGGCTGCGCGCTGGGCCTCCTGCTTCAGGAGCGTTTCCGGCGGAGCTGACCTCTTGCAGAAAGGGCAGCTCGAGCGGAACCCGAAGTTCACCACCTTCCGCTTGAGCGAGTCCGGGCATGGCGTGCACTCCCAAGGTGGCACACGCTGACCACTCGGTACAGATTCCGCGTTCTTGCTGCCCTCTAGGTGCTTGTGGGTGCTGGCCTTGACTCGCTTCCGACGGCGCCAGCCCGTGGCCAGCTCCTTCTTCTTGGCTTTGGCTTTCGCGGTGAGCTGCTTCTTCACACGTCTCGCCTTTGCTTTGGCCTTCAGCCAGGGCCTGAGCGGTCGACGCGGAGACAGAGGCTTCACCAGCCACTGGTCCCCGGCTTTGACCTTCCGCGGCGGCGAACGCCAGCTGGACATGGCGATCCACCTGCCTATCCTGTCCAGCCGGCCCGTCCTCGATGATCAGTTCGAAATCACTAAGGCTGTCTCTAAGCTCCGCGAGGAGTCGCCTGTCTATCAGGCGCTTTCATGCCGCCATCGCCATCGGCTCCGACGCGCTGCGCCGCTCCGAATCGCGCGCGCCAGCACTGGGGTGCAACCACCTCCAGCCGAAACGGCTGAGGAGGAGAGGAGGAGGAGGAGGAGGAGGAGGAGGAGGAGCAGGAGGAGGAGGAGGAGGAGGAGAAAGAAGAGAAGAGGAGTAGGAGGAGAAGGAGAAGAAAGTGGAGGAGAGGAGGAGGAGGAGGAGGAGAAGGAGGAGGAGAAAGGAGGAGGAGGACGAGAAGGAGGAGAAGGAGGAGGAGGAGGAGAGGAGGAGGAGGAGGAGGATGAGGAGGAAGAGGAGGAGAGGAGGAGGAGGAGGAGAGGAGAAGGAGGAGGAGGAGGAGAGGAGGAGGAGAAGAGAAGGAGGAGGAGGAGGAGAAAAAGAAAGGGGGAGGAGAAGGAGGAGGAGGAGGAGGAGAGAGGAGGAGGAGGAGGAGGAGGAGGAGGGAAAGAGAAGGAGGAGGAGAAGGAGGAGAAGGAGGAGGAGGAGGAGGAGGAGAAAGGGGGAGCAGGAGGAGGAGACGAAGGGGGAGCAGGGAGGAGGAGGAGGAGGATGAGGAGGAGGAAGAGGAGGAGGAAGAGGAGGAGGAGGGGAGGAGGAGGAGGAGAAAGAGGAGGAGGAGGAGGAGAAGGAGGAGGAGGAGGCGGAGGAGGAGTGGAGGAGGAGGAGGAGGAGAGGAGGAAGAGGAGGAGGAGGAGGAGGAGGAGGAGGAGCGGAGGAGGAGGAGGAGGTGGAGGACGAGGAGGACGAGGAGGAGGAGGAGGAGGAGAAGGAGAAGGAGAAGGAGGAGGAGGAGGAGGAGGAGGAGGAGGAGGAGGATAGGAGGAGGAGGAGGAGGAAGAGGAGGAGGAACAGGAGGAAGAGGAGGAGGAATAGGAGGAGGCGAAGGAGAGGGAGAGAAAGAAATCGCAACAGCTCGGGCGGAAGGTCCGTCCCTGCGCGCGGGGCAGCAGCGCCTGCTGCGCCCGCTGGTTGTGGTGGGACGTGCCGCTACAGTGAGCGGGAGAGAAAGAGAGAAAGAGAGAGAGAGAGAGAGAGAGAGACCCAGACGCCCTGCCGGGTAATGGAGAAACCCTGACGGGAGGCTTTTCCATATTTTCGGCCTCTGGAGGCCCTTGCCCGGCCTCGGGACCGTCAACACACGACTCGGGATGAAAAACCGTCCACGGGAATGGGTCGAGACCTCGGAGAGTCGACGTCATGACAAAATCATGACGTCGGGGGTCTGGGGAGAGAGAGAGAGAGAGAGAGAAAAAAAAAAACAAAAAAAAAAAAAAAAAACATTCATATTTAAAAAAAAGGGAAACGGGTCCTGAAGGTAGCGGATCCCAGGACAGGATCTTCATCCCGAGTCGCTTTCCGACCCTCCCCGGGGGACCGTGCAGAGCCCCGGGGAGCCCGAAGACGGCGAAAAACAACTCGTGACCCGTTCCTTCCCCGAGATCCGACGTAGCGAAAAAAATAAGGGAACAAAAAGTGGCATAAACATAAAAACTCGGAGGTCCGCGCGGATTTCTCGGATCGGCGCTGGGGCCCCCTGGCCTCCTCCTCCTTCTCCTCCTCTTCCTCCTCCTCCTCCGTCTCCTCCTTTCTCCCTCCTCGACCTCCTCCTCCTCCTCCTCCTCCTCCTCCTCCTCCTCCTCGTCCCGCTCCCGCTGAGCCTGCGCCAACCCCTCCTCCCTCTCCACGGCGAAGGTAGGATAGGATGAAGGCAAAGCCTAATGCGGATGCACAGGGAGCCCCTGAGGGCGGGCGGGGCTGGAGGATGCACCGGGCGCTGCGGAACGCTCCGAGACCCCTCCGGAACGCTGAGGGGCGATGCAGTCTCATCCTGGGCCCGCCACGGCTATCCGCGGATCCCATACCCACCGGTGCGCTCCCTCCCTGGGCTCCCGAGCTCGGCAGGCCCCGGGATAGGGCCTCACGCCCAGGCAGTCTTCGAGAGGCCAGCCCCAGGGGCGGCTCCTGCTCTCGGGCCGCGGGGGGGGCGCGCAGATTCAAGCGGGGGCCGATCGTCCAGCGCTCCCGCCGGCCTACCGCGGGCTGCTCCCAGAACGACAGGAGGCTCTCACAGCAGGAGCCACGCTCTGAGGGCATAGGCACGACGTCTTGGCACAAGGCAGCATCCGCCAGGAGCAGAAGGGTGCTAGAGGCCTCCCAGATGGGGTCCGAGCAGATGGCGTCGGAGGACCTCGCCGCAACGCCGATACATCGGCGATGCATGACCGATGCATCGGTAATGCATGGGAGATGCACTGGCGTTGTCGGCGATGCATCGGCGACGTCGGCGTGGAGAAAATTGGGCCCCACATCGAGCCGCATTGCCGATGCGTCGCCGATGCATCGGCGATGCGGCGTGATCCTCCGACCCCATCTACTCCGACCCTCTCTAGGAGACTTATAGTTCCCAGACCCCCGACGTCATGATCTTCTCATGACGTCGACCCCCAGAGGTCTCGACCCATTCCGCTGGACCGGTTCCTCATCCTGGATCGCCGCTTGACGGCCCCGAAGGCCGGTAAGGGCCTCCACAGGCCGAAAATGCGGAACAACCTCCCGCCATGATGTCTGCCTCTACCCAAGCCCAGACATCCGACGTCTCGATTTTTTCGAGATTTCGAGACGCGGGCCCCGGACTTCCCGACCAATTCCCTAAGCTGGGACCAGTTTTTTATCCCGAGTCGTTTTTTGACGGTCCCGAGGCCCAGCGAGGGCCCCGAGAGGCCAAAAACGATGAAAAACCTGTCTCGATTTTCTCGAGACGCCCGATGTCTGGGAGGGAGGGCCGGGCTCTGAGGCCAACGGGCTCGACTGGTGGAGCTCGTGCTCGGTGGGCCTCCTGCAGAGGCAGGCCGCGACCCCGCTCGCGCGCGGCGGGGCCGCGCGGCACGACCCGCGGGCTCCTGATCCCGCCAGACCTGCGGGGGAGCCCTGGCCTTCCACAGCGGCGTCGGGATCCACCACGGGGGGGGGGGACCCTGAGGGTGGGCATGAGGAGCCCCCAGACCCCCTCGGGCAATGACTGGGGGAACAAAAAGCGACATAGACATAAAAACTCGGAGATCCGCGCCGATTTCTCGGATTGGCGCTGGACCCCCCTCCCTGGCGCGCTGAGCGCGCCAGCGGCGCCGGAGGCGCCGCCGGGGGGCCCCAGCGCCGATCCAAGAAATCCGCGCGGACCTCGGAGTTTTTATGCTGATGCCACTTTTTGCTCCCCTAATGACAAAAATCATGACGGGAAGTTTCTCCGCATTTTCGGCCTGTGGAGGGAGGCCCTTGCCGGCCTTCGGGACCGTCAAACAACGATTCAGGATGAAGAACCGGTCCAGGGGAATGGGTCGAGACCTCCGGGGGTCGACGTCATGAAAAGATCATGACGTCGGGGGTCTGGGTCCGATCCGCTGGTGCACCGAATTGCCGCAAACACGTGCTCCCCGCATGCCCCACCTGATTATCGGCAACGATCGTGAGCTGCCAGCAGCTGGGGTGCATCTGTGCTGGGCGGTTCAGTGCAGAAGCCGATCGAGCACCCCCCCCTGCGGGATCCCGACGCTGGCAAGAATAGCACTCCAGACCTATCGACCTCTCAGGGCCGGCCGAGGCACCGGCCGGAACCTGACTTCAAGAGGTCTGGGTGCTACTCTTGCAGCCCTCCGGGAAGGACAGGGGGCACATCCACCGCCACGCCTCGGCCGAGCCCCCCGCGCGGGGCCCCAGACCTCGCCGGACACGGCGCCCGACCACGCCGCGGCACGCCGCACACATCGGGGGCCCGCTGGAGGCCCGGCGGCCCCCGAGGGCCCACCGCGCTGTGCGAAAAACCCGCGCCGAGGCCCCCCGAGGCACCGCCTCGAGAGCCTCCGAGAGCCCGAGGGCCTCTGGCGCCGAGGGCCCCTGGGCCTCCCGAGGGACCATCTCGTTCATGCCCCCGGGCGTCTGCTCGGCCACGAGCGCGGCGAGCGTGCCGGCGCCCGCGCCCGCGCTGTCCGCCGCCATGGTCGCGAAGTCGGCGCCGACCCACGCGGCGGCCTGCGCCTCGGGGACGCCGTGGGACACCAGCCACTGCTGCACTGTCAGCTGCCGCTTGTCCGCCACCGTGCCGAAAGGCCACGAAGCCGTCTGTGTGGGGAAGGAGGAGAGGGGAGCGGAAAGGCATCCTTGAGGAACCGGCGTCGGAGCTCGAACGCCGCCACGGAGCGAGGGCCGGGTGACTTGGCATCTTGACGCGGCTGGGGAGGCACGGCACACACGAGAAAACTGTTGCACTTGAAGGTCGCTTCCTTCCTCACCCAGTGGGTGGGACAGACGCGCGCTACGCCGAGAAAACAGGGGACGACGCCGAGGGAAAGGAGCCGCGAGGCATGAAGTGGAGCACCCTCAGGTCCCCTTGGGTCCCTTCGAGGGGATCTGAGAGGGCTGCTGCTGACGGCGAGAACTGGCCATCGGGGCACAAGTGCGCACGGTAACATTGACGGCTTTTCACACCACTGTGTGCGACCGTGCACTGTGACTAGATGTGGCGTCACTGTGGTCACCGAGTTCTCCGTGCCTCCTCCTCCTCCTCCTCCTCCTCCTCCTCCTCCTCCTCCTCCTCCTCTGCTCTCCTGGCGGCCAAAGGCCCCAGACTCCCGGGGCCCCCGGTCGCTCTTGGGCGCTCCGCTGGGAGGAGGCCTCGGCCCACGACGCAGGCACGGCGACGGCTTCGGCCGAAGGCCACGAGATCCGCGGCGCCCGGGCATAGCCTCCTGGCTGGGAAGGGCCGTTAACGCACCCCCAGGGCGACGCACCCCCAGGAAGGCGTCGCAGCGGCCGCGGGTCCGGCCACGGCGGGCGCCAAAACGCAGCCGTTGGGCGCCCCGAGGTGGGCCCTGAGGCTCCCTATCAACAGGGTACGTCTGATCTGGGGTACGTTTGGCCTCCCCTGGCTTGGCGTGCCAGCTTTCGTGGTTGTGTTTGCGCCCTTCCAAGCTGCTCCCAGTGCCCTCTGGCCCAGCCCGCCAGCACCCCAGGCGGCCAAACCTAGGACGGAAGAACATCCTCCCAAAACATGAGACCCTCCGCTGGCCGAAGCACCCCAAACCGTCAGATCGCCGAGGGCAACCCGCCCCCCAAACGCACAAGAACACCCGACGATCGCGAAGAACACGAGGGCACCCTCCCCGAAGCGACCTCGAGCTTACGCCTCAGTCCGACCGCGCCGCCAGAAGATCGGGACACCTCGTGTCCAAGATGGCCAACCGAGGAGGCGGTCACGAGGCGTGGAGGAGGAGGAGGAGGAGTAGGAGGAGCAGGAGGAGCAGGAGGAGGAGGAGGAGGAGGAGCAGGAGGCGGAGCAGGAGGAGGAGGAGGAGGAGGAGAAGGAGTATGAGGAGGAACAGGAGGAGGAGGAGCAGGAGCAGGAGGAGGAGGAGGAGGAGGAGGAGGTGGCCCCAGGTATGGCCAAAGAAGGGACTCCGACACCGCACGCTTCTCCCGCGCATCGCGGCTCCCTGGAGGCCTGGACCTTTTCTGCCTGGAGCCGGCGTTCTTCCCTCCGAGTCGCTGGTTGACCGCAATGCTCGAGCTAAACAGTGCTCTTCGTTTTCGATCTGTCCTCGGGCTTCCTCGTTCTGTCTTCGTCCCGCCTACTTGCTGCAGAACGACAGCACGCAGCGAAAGCGGTCCACGACGTCGCTCAAACACCTCTCAACTTGAGCCCTGGTTGACGGTCCCAGGGCCGGGCGCAAGGGCCCTCGGAGGCCGAAAAATCGCCGAACGCCCTCCGCGAGGATGCCACGGCAGTGCGAGGGCCTTGCGCGGGGCGGCGGCGAGTGTGTCTCCTTCCGTGTGCGTCCTTGGCTCAGGGTGTCGAGGGGGAATGCCCTCTACTGCATCCACCTCCTTCTCCTCCTCCTCCTCCTCCTCCTTCTCCTCCTCCTCCTCCTCCTCATCCCCCTCCTCCTCCGCCCCCTCCTCCTCCTCCTCCTCAGTCCTCCCCCTCCTCCCTCCTCTCCTCCTCCCCCTGCTCCTCCTCCTCCTCCTCCTCCTCCTCCTCCTCCTCCTCCTCCTCCTCCTCCTCCCCCTTCGCTTGGGGCGGCGGTGGCTCACCGCCAGGCGCCCTCGCATAGAAGTCCCCCATGAGCGCGGTGACGCTCTGAAGGCGCCGGAACTGGGCCTCTTGCGCCGCTCTTTCTGGGGGCCCACCCCTGCCTGCCCCGTTGTTGCGCGCCGAGGTAGCCGCGTCGGATCCGTGCCGAAGCCGCGTCGAAGCCGCGTCGAGCCAACATCACGCCCGCGTCGCATCCGCGTCGGCCCCGCGCCGAATGCAAGGGAGAAGGCCGCAGGCTCGCAGGGCGGGCGCCCCCCCGAGGGTGCAGCGTGAGGCCTCGTCGCCCGCCGAGGCACAGAAGCCGCGCGGGGCGAACAAAGATCAGTGGAGGGGACCCAAGACAATCTCGCGTGGTCGACCATGCACCTCCTGTTGCAGCCAACCCGTATCACAAGGACGTGCGACAGGGATGCAAGGGCCCTGGAGGGCCATGTCGGCACTCTTTGCGAGCGGGGCGCGGCCAGCGAAAGCGGCCAAGGATGGGCGGATGGGGCAGGATGCGAGGGCAACCTTGGAGAATCGATCATCCTTACTATGCAGGTTGGCTGTAACCCATCGCTCCTGGGCCGTCTTCGGCGGTCTCCTAGAAGGTACCAATTCGGCGGTTTCCGGCGGTCTCTGGCGGTTTCCAACGGCCGTCGGCGGGAAAGCTGGCTGGCTGCGATCAACACGAGGCCCACGATCGAACGCCCGGGAAATCGGCCAACCGTGGGGGGGGAGAGCGGCAATTCTGCTCCAAAGATCGCTTCCTGGCCACCCCCCGAGGTCGAGGCTGACCAGGTCTTCGGGCCGCGCCCGGCCGCAGAGGCGAGGGGACCCCATTTTCCCCCCTCCCTGCTGGTCGGGAGCAGTACTGAGCCACCTCAGCCCCCCAGCTGGCTCCGAGCCTCGTCGTCCACCGAGACGCAGGAGCCGAGTGGGGCGAAGACGGCCTGTGGGGATACCGACTCTCTGGATAACTGCCGGGCGCGGGCTGACCAGAACTTCAAAACGAATCCAGCCCCTGCGACGAGTGCCTCTCAAAAGACCCCCGACAAAGAAAGACGAAGCAAGGGTAGCGGTATCAGTACCCAGACATGCGCTGCTTGATTTGTTTTCAAGACGGGGTGCCCTGGTAATCCCGACCGTGTCTCCAGGGCCAGTGTTTAAAAGGCCTCCCAAATGTAGTTCGAACAAATGGAGCTGGAGGATTGCGCCGCATCGTCGATGCATCACCGATACATCGGCGACGTCGATCGGCGACACCGGCGTAAAGAAAATCGGGCTCCGCATCAAGCCGCATCGCTGACGCGCTGGCGATGCGGCGCGATCCCCCGACACCATTTACTCGGACCCCATCTGGCTTCGAGCTCTTCGTAGCAGGTCGCTTTTGTCACGGGGGCCGGGCAAGGTCCCGAGGGGCCGAGTACTGCCAACAACCTCCCGTCGCGCTCTCTTGTACGACGCGAGCACGACTAGAGAAATGAAAAAAGGCTGCTTGGCGCTGGCTGGCGCATCGCTGCGGCCGCTCTGGCGCGCGCAGGCTCGCGCGCACAGCGGCCAGCTAGTCTGGCGCGACCGACGCGGCCGCGGTGGCGCTGACCGCCAGGCACTTCCCACCGCGTCTCACGAGGCGCGCTGGCGCGCGGGCACCCTTAGTTCGGGTCGCTGACTCTGGCAGGCGCGGTGTCACGGTGACGTCGACAGACGGCGGCTGCGAGGATGATGGCAGCGAAGAGGGTGACAATGAGGACGACGACGGCGGCAAAGCCAATGACGGCGCCGATGCTTGTCACGCCGATGACGGTAATGGTGTGTCCTCGCGTCGGCGATGACGGTTTCGGAAGGATTTCGACATGCGTGCGCGGGCGATGCGCGCGAGTAGCCCGCATGGCGTTATTCGAAACGGATCGTGACCGGCCGCGCCCTGGCAGTTGCGCAAGGGCATCCGAATGATTTTGATTTGCGCGCGCCGCGCAAGAGGCCCGCGCGATACGTTTTGTTGAAAACAACTGTTGTCATACCATATGTGTTTATTTTCAGCGTGCCCGGGAGCATCGATCTTGAACCCACTACGACACGCAAGCATCCAGAAGGATCCCGCCAGGCGCGCGCGACGACGCGCGCGCATCGACTTTGAACTATCGGACGCGCAGAATTCGCGGAACTGTGGTTTGTGATAAACGAATGCACGCGCATGACATTTCTTGAACGGACTTGGGAGGGTCGATAACAGGACTCTCTGGGATGGTACGAATTCATACGGTGATGATATTGGATAAGAAACCATTGGATAAGGAGTCCAGGGTTTGGAAGCCGGTGGAACACCAGTCATGGATTGGCCATGGATATCACAGCCGACCTCATCAGGTAAAGAATCCTCCAGGGTCTGAAGCCCCCTGGTCACGTTCCTTAACGAACGCCCCCACCGTAGTACAGAGGAACAGTGGGCCGGAATCGTATGTAGCATCTCTAAGTTGTGCCATCACATCTACTCTTCCAGGTCTGGGAACATATTAGGCGCGATCAGTGTTGCGCGATCGCTGCTCAACTTGAAAATGTCCACCCCACTGCTCGAACAAACGCCCCGCCAATTCACCCGCAAGTTCGCTTGCAATCCCCATGCGGCGGCGATTGCTGTGAGTGCTTGGCGCTGGCTGGTGCGCCTCTGCGGCCGCGACAGCCCGAGCACGCGCGCGCGCGCGCACGGCGGCAAACTACTCTGGCACGGCGGACGCAACCGCGGCGGTGCAGACCGCCTGGCACAGCCCAGCGGGGGTTGCAGTGCGAGCAGGTATCACGGCAACGTCGACAACGGTAGGCACGGTGATGGTAGTAGTATCAAGTCGGGCCTGTCCCCCTACAGGGGGATTTTGGGAGAAATATAAAAACAAGAAATACGCCCAAAATAAAAAAAAGCTCACAAAATAGTCCCCCGACCATTTCTTGATTATTTTTGAATACTCCCCTGTAGAGGGACAGGCCCGACCTAGTAGTAGCGATGCTGGTGGCGATGCTGACAACGACGGCGGCACTGCCAGTGACGGCACGGATGCTGATCACGCCGGCGACGATGGCGGCGTCCTCGCGTCGGTGATGAAGATCCGCGCAAGAATTCGACATGCGCGCGAAGCCGACGCGCGAGAGTGGTCCGCGCGGTATTCTTTGATACGGATCGTGCCCCGCAGCACGCGAGCAAAGGCGTGCGAATGATTTCAGCATGCGCGCCAAAGGCCCGTTTGGCAGAATCCCATGCACATGTTGAAAGACCGATGGTTTCCTAAGAAGTCGCAAGGGCGCGAACGCAAGTCTTTTGTGAAAACTGTGTTGCGAACTCGATTTTGAATTCGACACGAAACCGAAGGTTCTTTTTGCGGATGTCAGCATGCGCGCGCGACGACGCGTGCGCGCGCTCTTCGTCCCACTTTGTGCAAAGGATTCTCGCGACAGCACGCGCGCAAGGGCGTCCGAACAATTTCGACATGCGCGCGCAGCCCGTTTGGTAACATTCCATGAAAATGGCGAAAAACGATGGTTTACGGAAGAATTCGCAAGAACGCGCGCGCAAATTTGTTGTTGAAGATCCGTGTTGCGAAAACCTTGTTTTTTTGGGAGGGGACACTCGATTTTGAAACCCTTACGACTCCGAGGGTTTTGAAGGATTACGGCGTGCGCGCGCGACGACGCGCGCGTGCGCATATCGTTGTTTTTTTTTTTGGGGGGGGGGGGGGGGCAACATCTGCTTGGCAACTTATGATGTTTGAAAAACGAGTGCGCGCATAGCATGGTTTGCAAGAAATGGCGGGGGGGGATACCGCCCCCCCTGAGATGGTGCGACTTCATATTTCGAAAAGGCGATGGGGCAGAGTCGCACGTCAATTGCAATACGAAAAAAGGGGCGGATAATCCCGGGGTGGGGGGTAGAGTTTTTTCTTTTCTAAGAAAGGAAAATCTATTTCGTGGAACTTAAGTCGTGCGATCTATGTTGTGACCACTACGTGGTGCAACGCACGCGGTGCAATTGAGTTCAAAAAATTTAAATTGTCAACTCCACTGCTCGCGCAAGCATCCACCCCCCCCACCAACAACATGATTTGTAAAACCCATGCGTCGGCGATTGGGGTGAATGCCCCGTGCCCGCTGGTTCGTCTCTTCGGCCGCGCTAGCCCGCGCGCGCTCGTGCGCGCAGCGGCCAGCTAGTTTGGCGCGACCGACGCGGCCGCGGTGGTGCTGACCGCAAGGCTCTTCTCAGCGCGTCTCGCAAGCCGCGCTGACGCGCGGGCACTGCAACGCAAACCGATGACTCGGGCGAGAGCGGTTTCATGGCGGCGTCGACAACGGTAGACACGTTCATGATTGTACCTGTGTTGGTGACGACGATGAGGGCTACGACGGCAAGGCCAATGACGGCGTGGATGTTGATCGCGCCGGTAACAATGATGGTATGCACGATTCGTCGGTGAGAACTGTACACAAGGATTTCGACATGCGCGCGCGGCCGACGCGGGCGAGTGGCCCGCATGGTATCATTTGGCACGGGTCGCGCCGCCCCAGCACGCGCGCAAGGGCGTTCGAATGATTTCGACACTCGCGCGCGAGAGGCCTGCTTGGTCGAATGTGATGAACATGTTGAAAGACGTACGCCTCCCTGGATAATTCGCAAGAGCACGTGCGAAGGCCTTTTCTTCGAAAAGTCATGCTAAGCAGCTTCGTGATTGTCTATATGTTTCCGGGGAGCACGATTTTGAAATCCTGACGACAATATGAGGTTTGAGGAATTCCTGCATGCGCGCGAGAACGCGCGCGTGCGCCTTTCATCCATGGTGTTGCAATGGATTCCTGGAAACTGAAAGACTGTGATAAACGAGTGCGCGCGCATCATTGTTTTGCAATGAGTATGGCGGGGGGGGTCGATGCTGGCCCGGGTGGGATGGTACGAATTCATATTCTAGGGGGCGAGGGACCTGGATCATATATGGAAGATACGACGGAAACGACAAGAATTAACTCCTTGGCGGGTGGGAGGTTCTAGTTCCACGTTGGGAAAGGAGAGCATAGGTTGTGCGATCTACGCGGCGCAGACTACGCGGCGCAATTCGCCCTGCCGGACCTGAAATTGCCAGCTCTACTGCTCGCGCGAGCGTCCCACCCGCCCGCCCGCAACTTGGCTTGCGAAACACACGCGGCAGCGATTGCGAAGACTGCTTGGCGCTGGCTGGCGGGTCGCCGCGGCCGCGCTGGCGCGCGCACGATCGCGCTCAGAGCGGCCAGCTGGTCTGGCGCGACCGACGCGGCTGCCGTGGCGCTGACCGCTGGGCACCTTCCAGCGCGTCTCGCAGGCCGCGCCGACGCGCAGGAACTTCAGTGAGAGTCGGTGACCTGGGCGGGGGCGGTTTCATGACGACGTCGACAACGGTAGACGCAATGATGACTCTTGCGGTGCTGGCGACAACGACGACGATGACGACGGCAAGGCCAATCTCTGCGCCGATGCGAATCACGCCGGCGACGATCATGGTGTCCACGCCTCGGCGACAGGGAGGTCCGCGAATAATTTCGGCACGCGCACGCGCGGCCGACGCGCGCGAGTGGCCCGCGCAACGCTATTTGACAGGGATCGCGCCCCCCTCCCCAGCACGTGCGCAAGGGCGTCCGAATGATGTCGACACGCGCGCGAGCGGGCCGCTTGGTCGCATGTGGTGGAACCTTTGAACAAGCGAATGCTTTCTTGGGATGTCGTTAGAGCGCACGCGCACACCTTCTTTGATACATTACTGTACAAAAATCATGCGTTCATAGACGTACCTGGGACACTGAATTCTGAAATGACTGAGACATGTGTTGAAGGATTTCTACATGCACGCTCGGCGACGAGCGCGTGTAGTTCGCCCGATTTCTTCGAAAAGGGATGAATGACACTTGATGACCTTTATGAATGAGGGCGCGCGCATAAAACCATGTGGCGAAGATGAAGTGGGTGGCTTCGGTGCCCACCTGGCTCGGATGGTATGAAGGTAGATGTCGAATGAACGATGGGGCATGACAAAATATGAGCTGCACATTCTCCCAAAAGGGGCGGGTAATCCTGGCCTTGGGGGGGAGGAAGTAGATCCTAGTTCCGTTTTAGAAAAGAGAACCAATGCGGGAAGAAAAACTGGTTGTTCGCTGTGGGTTGTCAACTCCACTGCTCGCGCAAGCACCCCGCCCACCCACCCGGAACCTGGTTCGCAAAACCCACGCGGCGGCGATTGCGATGACTGCTTGACGCTGGCTCGCTCATCGCGGCGGACGCGCTGGCGCGCGCAGACTCGCGCCCCAGGAGGGGCTCAGGAGGCGATGTTTGGCGTTCTGGAAGGGCAGCGCTAATTAAGGACCCCCCCTTCTTTGATCGATCTCCTCCAAGATGGCCCCAAGAGCGCCCCTAAAGCTCCGAAGAGCGCCCCAAGAGGGCCCCAAGAGGCGCCCAGACAGCCCCAAGAGGCCTGCAAGAGGCTCCCAAGAGACCACCAAGAGGCCCCCAAGAGGCTTCAAGAGGATCCCCGAGGCACCCAAGATGCCCCCCAGACGCTCCAAGAGGCCTCCAGAACAACTCCCAAGAGACATCCTAGGAGGTTCTTATGTTCGTCATGTTTTTTTCTGTCCTCCTCATCCTTCTCCTCCTCCTTCTCCTTCTCCTCATCCTTGTCCGCCTCCTCCTCCTCCTTTCCCTCTACTGTTTCAGCCTCCTCCTCCTCCTCCTCCTCCTCCTTTCCTCTCCTCTCCCTCCCCCATATCCTCTTCCCCCTCCTCCTCCTCCTGCTCCTCCTCCTCCTCCTCGCGGAGCGCGCCAGGGGCGCCGCTGGAGGCGCCGCCAGGGCGGCCCAGCCCAGCTCCAAGAACTCCGCGCGGACCGTTGCGCGTTTATGCTTATGCAGCTTGTCGACACGCTGCCGCGAGGACGAGGAACGCCGTGCAAGGAACGAGGAGGACTCCCTGACCACGGCCAGCCTCGGCCACGCAGAGGCTCCCCGCCTCAGAGCCCAGACGCCGCCCGAAGACCCGAGCCCCTCCTGAGCCCAAAGCGGTCCGTATCCCGGCGCCTTGTACCCAGACTCCCGACGTCGTGATTGTCTCACAACGTCGACCCTCAGAGGGCTGCACCCCTTCCCCGGGACCGGCCTCGCATCTTGAGTCGTTCGTGGACGGTCCCGAGGCACGGGGAAGGGCCCCTGGAGGTTGAAAATAGCGAAACACGTCCCTTCGTGATGATCACAGCGCGACGGGGTCTCGGCACCTTTGCCCACTCGGAGCCTGCGCGAAGGGCACGGGCGGGATCAGCAGCGTCGCGCCCTGGCGCCTGGCCACCGCCGGCAGCGGCACGGCCACCGCCACCTCGGCGGCGGGCGCGGCGAGCTCGCGCAGGCGCGAGGGCGGCAGGGTCGCCACCAGGGACAGCACCTGCTAACCAGCCTCGGTCCTCCTCCCCCTCCTCCTCCTCATCCTCCCCCTCCTCCCTTCCTCCTCCTCCTCCTCTCTCTCCCTCCTCCTCCCCCTCCTCCCCCTCCTCCCCTCCCTCCCCTCCTCCTCCTCCTCCTCCTCCTCCTCCTCCTCCTCCTACCCTCCTCCCCTCCTCCTCCCTCCCTCCTCCTCCTCCTCCTCCTCCTCCTCCTCCTCCTCCTCCTCCTCCTCCTCCTCATCCTCCTCCTCCTCCCCTCCTCCCGATGCCCCAGGTGGACAGACCCGAGTGCGATGACCATCTCAAGGAGGCGCCCTCAGACAGTGGGGGGGAAATCCCTGCAGATCGGCAGGGATGCCTGGTGGCGCCAATGAAGGGGCCCTGGGACACACAAGTAAACACCCGCAGATACCAGGATTCCCAATATGTTCCCATGTTTCGTGGGTTCTGCCTTCCCCCCAACTCCTCTATGGTTTCCCCTATTTTCTGGGGAATATCGACGATTCATTGTGTGTTTCTTCCCTCCTGAGCCAAGCACAGGGGAAGGGGCACCCGCCCGCCGGAAAAAAAGGCAGGTCTAGAAACATGGAGCAGGCAGGCGCTGGAAGCAGATCGGGCTCCCGCCCGCCCCCCGACGAGGCAGGGCAGGGAACGCGAGCGCTCGAAGACCGAAGCAGGACGGGGGGCCCAAACCGGCGGTGGACAAACCTCCCTTTAGCAAACCCCTCTTTAGTGAAAACGGCCTGGGACCGAAACCGACGGACCTGAACCCGCAAAAATGACGGCCGCGACGCCCTCTCGCGAACTGAAAACGGCAAATTTCTGAATCGACGTGTCAGGGCAGGAGGTCTGTCCACCCCCGACTAAAGGCGACGTCCTGATTATTTCAAGACGGCGTCCCTGGAGGTCCCGACCCTTTCCGGGGGACCGGTTTTTCGTCCCGAGTCGTTTTCTTGACGGTCCCGAGACCCGGCGAGGGCCCCCGGGGGCCGAAAGTAGCCAAAAACCTCCCGTCCTGATGTTTTTTACGACGCGATCATGTCTGGAATCACTACTCTCAACGACCGGGGCGTATTTTCCAGGCTGGTAGACCTGCTGGCCTTCCCGGAAGGTCAGGGCGCGGAGCACCTCCTCGGCCTGTCGGGGAGGGCGGGGTAAAGACCCGCGGCCCCAGCGCCGCACTTTTTTTGCCCGCGCCGCGCGATTCTCCCTTGCCTCGGGCCTCGGGACCCTCACAGATCGATCAGGGCTGGAGCGAAATCAGGGCCTTCCGTTTTCGTGCTGTCTCCGTACTCCTTCGTTCTGTCTCCGTTCTGCCTCTCTTGCGAAGGGAGACCAGGACGAGACAACAGCGGTCCACGAGGTCGCCCAAACACCGCTTGGCTCGAGCCTGAGATTGATCGACCTGGCTGGGAAGGTAACCGGCAGAAAGGTGGGGTCTGGAGCTCTCGCCGTGATGCTGACGAGGCTACAACTTCTTCTGCGACGTCGGATCTCATGTCGGGTCGGGCGAAAGGGGGGGATAGCAAAGGGGGGGCTTGAGAAGCAGCTCGCGTGGCTGATTGTCCCGGCGCCTCCCGGCGCCGGAGGCGGCTATGTATCGAGGAATGGGCCCCTCGGTGAGGCCGAACCCGGCTGCATGTAGCAAATGTTGTAACCTCCCCTCTCCCACTCCCCCCCTTTCGTCCGGCCCGCTCATGGCAAGGGGGATCGGTACGGGGGGCGATGGCGATTCGGCAGCCGGCGGCGGGGGCGCCGGAGCGGAGCACCTGCTTGGCATGTCGGAGGGCGATGCTAAAGGGGGAGGGCGGGGGCCAGGCCCAGAGATCCAACAATTGGACAAGAATCCAAGCACAATGGCTTCGCCATGTTCTTTCCCTGGGATCCAGGCCCTATGGAGTAAGGGTCGGGGAGCCCGTGTGGGACCTTACCCTGCGACGTACCCAGCCTCCTCTACAACTGCGGCGATTGACTATACATAGGACCGCTCAATATACACGAGCATGCTGAAGCACCCGCAGGGCGCCGGCGCCGCGAGGCGGCCTCGGCTGGATGTGCGTGCTCCTTCACACCGCTGGGCCTCCCAGGAGCCCACGCAAGTAGCGACAACTGCGCAGGTCGCAGACCCCCAGGGAGCCGCGAGGTCTCGGCTGGATGTGCGTGCTCCCCCACTCTGCTTGGCCTCCCAGGAGCCCGCGAAAAACGAGCCCTGCCCCACAGGGAACCGCTGGGTCCCGGCTGGATGTCCGTACTCCCCCACTCCACTGGGCCTCCCAGGAGACCACGAAAAGCACAGGACAATTGCGCAGCTCCCCGGGGAGCCGCGAGGTCTCGACAATGTCGCAGTTCGCTGCCCCGAGGTCCAGGTGCATACTCCCCCCACTCCGCTGGGCCTCGCCGTCTCGGCTGGATGTGGCTAACCCCCTACTCCGCTGGGCCTCTCCGGAGCACGCGAAAAAAATGGACAATTGCGCAGGTCGCAGCCCTCCCGGGAGCCGCAGGGCTTTGGCTGCATGTGCGTACTCCCCCTCTTGGCTCGGCCTCCCAGAAGCCCACGGAGGTGGCAGCAATTGCGCAGTACGCAATCCCCCAGAGAGCTAGGAGTTCTCGGCAGGATGTGCGTACTCCGCGACTCCGCTGGGCCTCCCAGAAGTCCACGAAATGGCGACGATAATGCAATTCGACCCCCCCCCCTGGGAGCCCCGATGTCTCGGCTGGATGTGCGTACTCCCCCACTCCGCTGGGCCTCCCCGGAGACTCGCAAGTAGCGACAACTGCGCAGGTCGCAGACCCCCAGGGAGCCGCGAGGTCCTGGATGTGCGCAACACCCCACACCGCTCGGCCTCCCATGAGCACACCAAGATGGTGACAGTTACACAGTTCACAGACCCCAAAGGAAGTCGCGAGGTCTCCGCTGGATGTGTGTACTTCCCTACTCCGCTGGGCGACTACTGCGCAGTTCGCAGTCCCCCACGAACGTGGCGACAATTGCGCAGATCGCAGACCCCCAAGGAGATGCGAGGTCTAGGTGCATACTCCCCCACTCCGCTGGGTCTCCAAGGAGCCGTCTCGGCTGGATGTATGTACTCCCCCACTCTGTTTGGCCTCCAAGGAGACCATGAGAGTTGGGACAGCTGCGCAGTTCGCAGCCCGCCCGGTAGGAAAGGTGCAAGGAAGGGATGCAAGGACGAAGGAGTCATAAGGAGGGGAGAGGCGGGAGGAGGAGAGGCTGGGGAAGACACGCGAGCAGTGCTCCATTCAAAACGAGAGCCCAACTCAGGAGGCCCTCTTGTTTTTGTGCCCAACTCTCCTGAGGAGGGTTGGGGAAAAACAAAACGTCGGATGATTGTTGAGGGGTCAGCGAATCGCCCGCACGCAGCCGGCGCCTCCCAGCGTCGGCCGCGCCAGTGCATCAATCGATGCGCTGGGTGGCGACAGTGCACCCGCCGCTGGGCGCTCTTAGCTCGAGAAAGGCGCCTGGCGATAGGGGCCGAAGCCAGCGGCACACAGCAGATCATGCCGTACCCTGCGATCCGACGTTACAGAACATGCAACATCGCAAATGATCACGAGCGGACCCCCAGACTTCATCTTTCTTCGTCAGTTTTCGAGCCAGATCGATCTGTGAGGGTCCGGGGGCCCGACATGGGCGAAAACGTCCGGCCCGAAAAAGTTGAGCCGCCAGGATCTCAGGGTATACATCGGCCCCTTGTTGTTCCCAATCCCCCGACGCCCCGACCTCCGCCGTGTGCCTTTTGTTCCAATCCGAGGCCCCAGAGCTCCCGACTCCTCTTCCCCGGGGGCAGCCTTTCGCGCCCCCGACCCGCTCTTCCCTCCCCCCCGAGCCCGAAATCTCGGACCCAGCTGCTGAAACGAGGGCAGCACGCCGCGCGGGAAAAACACATATCGGCGGAGGGCTGGGCAGATCACCTCAATATGAGGAGAAAGGAGGAGGAGGAGGACCAGGAGGAGGAGGAGGAGGAGGAGGAGGAGAAGGAGGAGGAGGAGGACTAGGAGGAGGAGGAGGAGGAGGAGGAGGAGGAGCAGGAGCAGGAGCGGGGAAAGGGGAGGAGGAGGAGGAGGAGGAGAGGAGGAGGACAGGAGCAGGAGGAAGAGGAGGAGGAGCAGGAGGAGGAGGAGGAGGAGGAGGAGGAGGAGGAGGAGGAGGAGGAGGAGGAGGAGAGGTCTGGACGAGTCGGGCCGTGGCGGCCAGCAGCGGGATGTATGTCGGTACCTTTTCCCCCTCGAGACCCCCTCTCGTCTGGCCCCGAGCCTGGCGGGGCAGCACCGCCACCACGACGCAGTCGACCGCGTCGACCACCTCCTGGTTGCTGCCCGCCACGCGGGCGGTGCCAGGGAACTCCGCCGCAAGCGCGGCAGCCTTCGCGGCGCCCCGGGGGCCCAGGACCACCTGAAGGGGGCGGCGCTGTCGC